GTCAAACTTTGTTGAAAGTGTAAAAGTTGACAGCACTAATAATGAAAGCAATACATTATTAAATGAGGAATTATTTAAAAATATTGAGACAGATTCTTCATATGAGTCAAACATTGCAAAAATTAAAAATATATCGCATGCTTCAAAACTATGGACAGTAAATATAAATATTTTTATGAAGGATGTATGTTTTAAAATTGATTCTGCTGCAGATGAAACTGTGATAACTACAAAAACTTACGGGGATCTTGAAAAAAAAACAAAGATTTAAATTTGAAGCCAACAGATACACCAGGTGAATCAGAATCAACAGTAAAAGGTGTAATTAAAGTGCCACTTATATATAATTGTGTTAAAGGCATGTCAAAATGTTTGTCATGAGAACCAGTAACCAGTGTGAATTTATTAGGTCGCTCAGCCATTGAAAAATTAAAAATGATGCAGTGGGCTGTTGAAAATGTTAATCAAGTAAATAATAAAAATGAGAATAAAAATTTACTAATGAAATTTTATTTGAAAGAAAAATATGGTAAAGTTTTCACTGGACTTGTAAGATTTTGAATATCCTATCAAATTAAAAAAAAAAAATGTTGAACCAGTGACAGTTCAAACGTCCAGACGTGTACCATTGCCTTTATTGGAGACTGTACGGTTAGAGCTTAATGATATGGTTAAAAAAGGTATCAGTAAAGAAATTAACGAAGCTACAGAATGGTGTTTCCCGATGACAATAGTTAAAAAAATCAATAGAGTAGATTTTGCACGGCTTTTATTGAATTAAATAAGTGTGTTGTCAGAGAGACATTTGTTTTGCCAACTGTAGAAGAAACAACAGCACAGTTGCAAGATGCTAATTTTTTTTTCAAAATTAGATTGCCCTAAAGGATTTTGGCAGTTAATGATTAGTAACCAAAGCCGAAAATATACTACATTCATAACACCATTAGGCAGATTTGTTTATAAAAGATTACCTTTCGGCATTTCCACTGGTCCAGAAATTTTTCAGAAAACTTTAAAGAATATATTCATGCAAGAAGGTTTGAACGATGTGCTTGTTTATGCGGATGATATTTTGGTTAAAGGACGTACCATTTCTGAACATAATAAAAGTTTACAGAAAGTTCTGACAATTTTACGAAATTATGGACTATGCAAAATCGGTATGAAAGAACTTAGAACTTGGGAGTATGTATAAGTAAAAATGGAATAAGGCCAGATAATTCAAATATAAAAGCTATCATAAACTATGTTGAATCAATAATTAGAATAGGAGTTAGAAGGTTTTTGAGAATGTATACATGTTTTTCAAAATTTATTAAAGATGCATCTTCAAAACCAAAATTTTTAAGAGAATTACTACAGGACAAAAACTGTTTTGTTTGGAATAAAAGTTATAAAAAATGCATTGAAAATCTAAAGCAGGAAATTATTTCAGCACCAGTTCTTACCAATTATTAGATTAATTTTCCTAACAGAATAAGTGCAGACGCTAGTGCATAATATGAGGACTGATCACAAACCTTTGGTGAGAATACTTAAAGATAAGCCAATTGGCCAATGAACGACTAGATTACAATGTTTTCGTATGCGTCTTATGGAATGAGTTGAAAGTGATCAGAAGGAAAAGGACATTTTAATAACCCTCCTGACCCTAGAGTACCTACGACCAAAATCTCGCTATCCTTCTGGTGACTCTCAGTCTTCGATGGAGAAGTTGCAACAGTACGATTTTCAAATCAAACATCTTCATGTCCAGTTCAATGCAAGCACTTTCTCAGAATTGTTTAACATGAAAAAAGACTTCGATTTGGAACAGATCAAGGACGGAATTCCGAAGAACTTAGAAGTGATCAATAAGAAGACATTTTTGAATCTAAAGCAAATTGGTGAAAGAAATCTAACTATTTTTGAACGTTGAAAAGTGAGAATTTGATCATGGCCAGTTCCAAGACAGAACAGATTGTAACTTAGAACAGAGAGTGTAATAACTGTAGGAATGGACGGATGGATGGAAAATTATGGAAGCTTATCTGGGAAGAGGATTTTCTATATTAAAAGAATTAATCCCGGAATAAACAGTATAATTTAACTTACAGAAAATGAAGTTGGTGCTAGTAATAGGCTAGCTGATAGAAAATGTTGGAGCTGGTAACATTACCTGCGACACACTTTGAGTGACACCAGTTTGGATGTCTGACTAGAGAGTGTCATTTCTACAAGTTTCAAATAAACTAAATATAAAATATTGTCTTTCAATTATTACTGGCTTCTGATAAGTCTGGAAAAGATGATAGAACAAAAATTGCCATTCTGCTAAATTTGATTGGTGAAGAATGTGTGGAAATGTACAACTCGTTCACGTTATCAGAAACAGAAGCAAAGTATTTTCAAAGTTCAAAGCTTCTGAAGATTATTGTAGCCCCATCAGGAACAATATAGTTTTCAAGCGTTTGAAATTTTATAGTAGCAATCAGCAGGAAGGTGAAGGATTAGAACAGTTTTTAACAGACGTCTAAAAATTATCACAGCCCTGTGAATTCGGTGCTTTAGATGATGAGATAGAATTGTCTTGGGAATTCATGACAAGTCCATACAGGAAAAGTTGCTGCGTGTGGAAGATTTTGACATATCTTAGGCTGTAAATGTATGTCGAGCTGCTGAAATTTCTAAATCTCAGGCTAGAAATTTGCAAGGAATCTCTGCTGAAGTAGTGTTTGTTAAAAAAGTCAGGAAACCATAACAATTACAATAAGTTAGCTCCAAATTCTAGTGGGGCAGATGAAATATTCTTGAAATCTGGAGAAAAACTGAAATGTAGAAGATGCATGATCATGCATAGAGTTCGTTGGGAAAAAGTATAGTAAATGAAAGCAAATAAACCATTTGGCAGTTTAATGTCATGTGAAAAATGTAAAAGTATTACAAGAACAGGAGGAGGAGTCTGATGAGGCTGAGTTCGCAGTCAATATTATTGGAATAAGTAACCAGAGTAAGTGAAAACCTGAATAATAAGGATAGATTTGTAAATAATCACTATGAATTATTATTTGAAAATCTTGCTAAGTTTAAAGATGAATGTGAAATACAAGTTAATAATGATGCTCTACCTGTTATTATTCCACCCAGAAGGAAACCTTTTGCCATTCGTGACAAATTAAAGGAAACATTAATGAGTTTAGAACATAGAAAAATTATTTCAAGAGTTGAGAAGCCCTCTGGCTGGGTTAATAATATTGTTATTTTCGAAAAAAAGGATGGCTCTTTAAGATTATGCTTGGATACAGATTTAAATTTAGAAACTAAATGGCCTGCGTATCTACATACTTATTCCGACTCTTGAAGATTTAGTTGAAAAACTTGTTATGTTTTTAAGATGTACTACAATTTCAAATAAGAAATTTCAGGAAAACTACTAATTGCTGAAATTGCCCAAAAGAAATGGCCTTACCTGGCCGCTTCCTTTAGGCTCCAAAATCTTCAAATGGGAGTCAAAATCAGGACTGATAACAATGATATCATCCAAGTAACAAAATACTGTGTCGATGAGTCTCTGAAATGTTGCGGGCGCATTGTGTATACCGAAGGGAAGCCTACAAAATTGGAATAAACCACGTCCAGAAACCGTAAATGCAGTATATTGCTTACTGCTTTCGTCCAACTCAACTTGCCAATAGGCACTCCTTAAGTCCAATGAGCTCAGAAATCTCAGCTCAGAATCTTAAAAAAAAAAACATTTACATAATTCACATTATTAGCTACTGTACAGGAAGTTTTGTTGGTTGCATCCAGTTTAACCCCCAAGCATCGAAGTTTGTCCCAACCCTTCATTCCTACAAACGTCCTGTTTGCACCTGAATCCAGAAGACCATAGAATTCAGAACCCAATATATTTACTACTAAAAAAGGACACTCACCAGGACCTACATGAGCCAGTACATAAACTAATACTATTTTATCTTTGAAATCAGATGCAGTCGATTCAAAGCTCGAAACAAACCCACGAGCAGCCCAAATATTATAGGAAAAATATCCAGGATTTGACTTTCAAACTAGAAAGCTCAAAATAGCCCCAAAAACAATTCTAAAAGTATGTAAATAATGTAAGCCAAAGGCAAAGGTAAAGGTAAGGAAACCCAACTACTTCCAAATTTCAACAATAACAAACTCAAAGGAAAAAAGTATTTCACAATTCTTGATTTGAAATAAGGTTTCTGGCTTGAAGAGCTTACTGAAAAATCTAGTAATCTTTGTACTTCTGCCACACACTTTGGTTGTTAAAAATTTAATCGATTGCCTTTCGGACTCAATATGGCGCCAGAGTATTTTCAAACCATAAATAGAAATTTTTTTGGAGAATTTAAGGGTGTGCAAGTGTACATTGATGTTCTGTTTATAGCTGCTGATTCTTCTAAGGAGCATGATCAAATTTTGGATTCTGTCTTGAAAAGAGTTATTGCAAATGGAGTTAGATTTAATACCAAAAAAGTAAACGAAACTAGCAGCAGCGAGAACCAAAATACTGTTCAAGTAAATTTTAAGAAAGACATAAAGAATAACTCCATTGTTAATGAAAGAGTCATGCGCAGTGGTCGTATTGTTCAATTACCAACTAAGTTTAGAGATTATGTTATGTGAAGGTTTGTAATGTTTCATTTTAAATTTAAGTTTTTATTCCCCAGGAAGGGAGATGTTCGAGCTAATATCGTCTTTCTATTATTACTAAAAGGACACAACAGAAAAGCCTGAAACTTTCAAAAAACTTGAAATAACTTTCAAATCGAAAAAATTATTGAAATAAGTTAATAAGTGCAATTCAGGTAGGTAACTAATATGATGTTTATAGTACTTATCAACACCTGCAGAGCAGGTCCAAATATCACTTCCAGTGTTTCGGATCTAACTTGGAGATTAGATGAACCAATGATTTAGACATATAGAGCAGGTAAGAGAATTTTTAGATATTCACAAAACAATGAACAATCTTGCTTTCTTCTACTTACCAATCGAAGCGAAATCCAGCTCCTGCCTGGTGAAACTGAGGGTATGATCGGCGACGGCACAGGTATGGAATTGGCAGGCGAAAATCGTTTCTCGGTCGTCGCCTAAACCGCGATGGTAGCACTTAATTAGAATATCACCACGAAGTTGAAGGCCACGTTTCCGTTCGCCGGATACGTTAACGGTGAACTGGGATATGCCGCTGGATACACTATAAACACCTGGAACAAAAATAGTTATCACTTGCAAAATTAAGTTTTTGCCAATAGGTGGCACTATGTACTACAGTTTCTTTATGCCAGGTTTCGGGACTATAAGATACTTCATCCTGTTATGGAATTTATAGGGTATTCATAACAGCCAATCGAGTGTGTCTGATAAGTATAGCCTATTTGTCGCATAGGTTTCCTGAAGAAATTTGGAATATGTCAAAGTGCTTCTCTAGTCTTTTCTGAGTGATATAAATGAAAATTCATCATCTAGGGTGTATAAACAATACAGAGACATATATTCTGTAATTAAAATTAGGCAGATTCGGTCATCTTTAGGATACATTATAACCTCAAGTAATCTGTCCAATAGACACAACATTCTCATCGATGTTGTATCTATTAGCTTGATTCAATTTGCAACACTATCGATGCAATATCACGTTCCTGACATATTATTCTATAAATGATGAAAATACTACCGATCATTCATAGTCAATCATGTAGTTTATTGCAAAAGAAATTAGAAGTGCTCGATAGTTATTTTTTACATAACCTGGCATTTGAGTATTTAATTTTAGTTTACACCACTAAACGTTATCATTACCTATACAATTTTATGGCCATTATTTGCATTTCGTTCTATAATACACAATAATTTACGATTAGTTTCAGTATAGTAATAGTGCGGAATAGTTTGCACACTAGCAACACACCCAACGAGAATTTTTTATACTTTGTCCATGTTTCTTTGAGATATTTTTCCTTTTCTGTTCTATTCGTCAATATTTTTAATATCTGAAGAGTTTTCTTGAAAGGCCTGAGATGAAAACGTTTATTGCATAATAAAATGCATTTTATCCAATATTGGCTTAATAGTGTTTATTGATTGATAACATAAGTAAATATTATTCAGGTCCTTTACAATGTTTATAGTTTATTTTGAGAGTAGTTTTAAAGGATACGAAAATTTGCACATAATAATTAAATTGGATAAAACAGGAAATTTCGCATTTGAAAAATTTTACAAGGGACATGGGATTGCGACACCGACTTTCTAGTGGCCATTCCTTACTGGTTTATTTTGAATAGGGTTCATATTTACCTGAAGTATAAACAGGAGTGTGTCCTTCGTAGAGCTTCAGAAAAGCTTTGCATGTGCCATTTTGAAAAGACGGAGCTCCCAAAACTGTGACGTGCGTCAAATACAGTGGCGCCGCGTTGATTCTGATGTTGTGCGATAGAAGGCCAGCGAAGTAGTCTACGTATCTGAAAACATAAATTCTGTATCATGACTTTATCATTGGAAAAAATAGCTACATAACATTTCCCAATGTTGTCTGCTTCTATTGAAACGTTATTGAATTGGCCTATACAGACAGAATCAGACTACTAGACACATTCAATGGGATAAGAACTGCTACCCATTTCACTTCAAGATTATCATGGTGGATCCTTGCATGTTAATAAAATTCGTGCATCTTCGGCAGCTTGGCTATAGGTACTCGGCTTCGGCAGCATCGCCTTAATTTGCCTAGATCTGATACAAGCTAATTCGTCTTATTGCTCCCTATGTATCTAATAGTTTGGTCTGACCTTATAGTGGCTTAGAGTCGCAGTACAACGTTGGAACCATGACCAGCATAAGAAATAAAAATCAACCACACTTTTTCAGTAACATACGAGTAATTTTGTTTACTACGGCACGACGTTTATTCCACACTGAAATCACTGAAATAACTTTTGGACGTCGTTGCAACGTCGTCATATGACTTCTCATAGCATCTATAACGTAACATTAGGCAACGTTCAGTTCTTTTGGACAACCCAAAGTCAGTTTCTGACGCCAACTCACATTTAGTCGAGGTAGTCAAAAAGAAGTACCGACATCGTATGCAGACTTGAGGTAGTAAGTACATTAAACGATGTCAGATTGTTACTCGGGAGCAACAAAGTCTACTCTATTCAAGATTCTTACCTTCTGTTTGAAGGCAACTTTAAAGGTCCCACATTGTCGTCCAGAAATTTTCTCATCGAGAATCTGTCCAGAGCTTGTTCGGCGGTACCGCAAATGCTGGAATAGTGCATGTAGGCTGCTACCACAACGCCTAGTTTTTCTTTGGAACCCCTAAAAAAAAAAAGACAAATTAACTGAATCTTGCTTTTATGAACCCAATGATGTTGCGGATGACACTCATTATACTTTCATTACAAGATATGGCTACTTCAATTGAATAAGTCGTTGTTACGTAATTATCACTGAAAAATGACTTTCTAGTTTTTCTTACTTTTATCTAGACTTTTCTGGTGGTTCTGTATAGTTATAATCACTAGAATTCTAAACTTTCAGTACTTCCAAGGCTTTTGAAGTTTCTGGAACGGGACTGTTAATAACTGTAAAATAACTTAAAAGTCGCAAGGAATTCAACCTTCAAAATGTTCCACATTTTGGTCGTAGTAGGCACGTTATGGAATCGTAGCAATAACGTTGCCGTCACAAGTAGTCACAACTTTACAGTTCCCAACAATAGTCGCCTTGTCGTACGAACGACTGAAAATGCTGTTTGAGATGGAGTGGATAATGCTAATCTTATTAAAACTCTTCGTCAAAATCTTCGAGTCAGAGTGAAAACTGTTGGAACAAATCAATAATTCGAAATGTGTCTAGTCCTCACGTAGCAACATAGTTTGACAATACCTAATTTGTAGAATATTTTATTTTTAGCTAATAGCCACTAACCTTAGTTTTACTAGTGTGTAATATAAACAATAAGCAGGCGCTTCGTTTATGGATAAATAGTCCTAGAAACCAGTTTAAGTGTCTTTACCTATTCCCAAAGATATATTTTGCAACAGGTTATGGGCCCAGGCCTTCTGTAATACCGTTTGAAATAGTTTATTTCTGAAAATAATTGTCTTTTCTTTGTGTTTCTGCCGTTGCATCTAACAAACTTTTTTGCTCCAAAATGTCCGGTTATCAGTTGCCACTGATTGAAAAATTCCGTGGCCCTAAAAACTATGATACCTGGAAGTTTGCCGTTCAGACGTACCTTGAACATGAATAACTGTGGGAATCAGTTACAGGTTCCGTTACAGACACTAAACAATATGTAAAAGCTCGCTCTAAGATTATCTTGTTGATTGATCCCCTGAATTATGTTCATCTTCAGACAGCTAAAACAGCTAAAAAAGCATGGAACAAGTTAGCTAGTGCATTTCAAGATACAGGCTTAGCGCGGCGTGTTGGACTTCTACGCATGTTGATAACTACAACCCTTGAAAATAGTGATTCAGTTGAAGACTATGTCAACAAAATTATCACTACAGCTCACAAGTTATCAAACATTGGTTTAAAAGTAAGTAATGAGTGGGTATAGGCACTATTCTTCTAGCCGGTTTACCAGAATTCTATAAACCTATGATAATGGAAATTGAGAGTTCTGGCACTCCAGTTACTGCAGACTCTATAAAAACTAAATTGTTACAAGATATTTCGGTTTTAAAAAGTAGCAGTGGACAATAAAATATTGCGATGTACGGTGCTGATGCATTTGGTAATTTTTCTTCATTTAACAAAGACAGAGACAAATAGATTCAGTTAAATCGGTCCGGGTCAAATAAATCGAAAGGCGTTCGTTGCTATCAGTGTAACAAATATGGTCACTTCGTTAATGAATATGATCAAAAAAAGGACAGCACCAAAAACCAAACAACGGTTTGTGGTATTTGGACTCTGGATGCTCAGCTCACGTGACAGCAAATCATGAAATACTTCAGAATGTTACAAAGTCTTCTAGTTTGACAATCACCACAGCAAACAACCAGCAAATGCGGAGTGATTCCGTTGGTGAGGCAAACCTGTCATTATGTGTTGAGAAAAATATATCATCAGTTAAAGTAAGTGATGTTTTTCTTGTTCCTGAGTTGAATGTTAACCTTTTGTCAGTCAGTCTGAAATCAATAATTCAAATGAATTGATAGCAACCGCCAGTCATGGAAATAATCTGTTCAGTTTAGATATGGAAACCTCAGTTAATGTCGATGGTACTGCATTGTTTAATGCATCAGCTGATAATAATAAATATAATGTATGGCCCAAGCGTGTGGCGCATGTCAATTCAGCAAGTTTCCATAAGCTAAAAAATAGACTAGTAGTACATGGCATTGATTTGAATGAAAATTTTAACCAAGATTTTGTATGTGAAGTCTGCATATTAGGAAAAATTCATCGTTTGCCATTCAGGGAAAGGGACTCATGTTCCACCAGGCTTCTAGAATTGATCTATTTCGATTTATGCGAACCGATGCAGGAAAATTCATTGTCAGTTTCACGATACATACTTACCCTTCTGGATGACTTCAGTCACAAAAGTTTCATGGAGAGTACTGTAATTATTAAACTATTTTAAGTCTACCGGATTCAGCATCAGAATACAGTCCCTCATAATAGTGCTCAGCAAAATGGTAAAGCCAAAAGGCTGAACAGAACAATTGTGGAAAAGGCTCATTGTCTTTTGATCGAGGCAGATCTTTCTAATAATTTTTCGGCAGAGGCCGTCTATACTTCTGTGTAGATTTTAAATCGTTTGCCAACTAGATGCGTAAAGAAAACTCCTGAAGAAATTTGTAGTGGAAATAAGCCAACAGTGAAACATTTGAAGATATTTGGTTGTTAAGCTTTCTCTCACATCCCAGTTGAAAAAAGAAAGAAGTTGGACCCAAATGCTATTTCATGCATCTTCGCTCGGAATCTAAAGCCTATAAACTTTATGACGTTGAAAAAGGAATAGTTTTTATTTCAAGAGATGTCCAGTTCATTGAGTCTGAAAGAAAATCTTTATTGTTGCATGAAAATGACCGACAAAATCAGCACGATTTTTTATACTTTCCTGAAACAACTGTTGAGACCTTGGGACCTCAAGTCGATGACGAAAATCAGCAAGGGAGCAATGTTACCTCCTCTTCTGAGGGGTATGTTGGTATTTCATCAGACACTTCTGAAGAAGATAGTGATCAGTACCTTGAAGATGATCCCATGAATGTTCCTGAAGAAGTTATACAAGAACATCAAGCTCCAGTTCAGAGAACACAGCGAAATAAAATAACCTCCCGAATTATCAAGAGATTATGTAACATATCATATGCTACAATAATTGAACAAAAAAATGATCCTGCAACAGTCCAGGAAGCCCTCACTCGATCAGATAAGGAAAATTGGCTCAGCGCTAGTATAGAGGCTTAATCGAAAATGAAACTTGGGACCTTGTAGATTTACCACCAAACAGAAAGCCTTTGAATTGTAAATGGGTGTTTGAAACCAAGCGAAACGAAAATGGTCAGGTCAAAGTCAAGGGCTGTGCATAACGAAATCGAGTAGACTTTGAGAATACCTATTCACCCGTTGTTCGTTACAGTTCCATTAGGTATTTACTTGCACTTGCTGCAGAACATAATCTAGACATAGATCAGCTAGATGCAGTAACAGCGTTCCTACAAGGTGCTCAGAAGAACCTTTTAGTCCAGGAGGTGGCGCCAAAAACATGCAAGAGTTTTCGCAAGGCGGATATTTTCAAAAAAGGTCGTACTTTAGTGCTAGAATGCTAGTGTACAGTCAGCACTCACAGTTCCGGGACAGCTGGCTCTGGGACGCGGGCAAAGTTGTAATTTTAAGAAGCATCTAAACTGTTTTCTCAAAACTCAAAATTTATAGAAATTTTGCACATTATCTGTTTGAAGGTCACAGATAACGTATGTAAATCGTCAGACGTCTAGTTTGTTGCAAAAAGGGGGTCAGACGTCCTCAAAGTTTTCATTTTATGGCATTTTCTTCTATTATATTTGTCAAATACCTGCAAAAATATATTTTGACAGGACACCGAAGAAAATGCCATAAAATAAAAACTTTGAGGACGTCTGACCACCTTTTTGCAACGAACTAGACGTCTGACGATTTACATACGTTATCTGTGACCTTCAAACAGATAATGTGCAAAATTTCTATAAATTTTGAGCTTTGAGAATTAAAATTACAACTTTGCCCGCGTCCCAGAGCCAGCTGTCCCGGAACTGTGAGTGCTGACTGTACACTAGCATTCTAACACTAAAGTACGACCTATTTTGAAAATATCCGCCTTGCGAAAACTCTTGCATGTTTTTGACGCCAGCTCCCCAACTATTTGAATCGTGCTAAGTTTTAGAACTGTATGAAATATCAAGGACTCATTTCAAATAGGTAGAGTGTTGGAAGAAATCAATAATTTGAAATGTGTCTTGTTCTAACGTAGCAACCAAGTGGCAATAGCTAAGCTTGTAGAATCAGTAGAATGACATTTTATTTTTAGCTAATAGCTACTAACCCTAGTGTGTAATATAAACAATAAGCAGGCGCTTCGTTTATAAATAAATAGGTAGTCCTAAAAACCAGTTTAATTGTCTTTACCTATCCCCAAAAACATATTTCGCAACAAAAACCAGGTAAAAGGACGTAATATCAAAAGTCACTCATCTTGAATGTAGTTTAGCATTTTGCAAGACGGAACTTAGAACTATTACAATGGAGACTACACAGATAATAGAGGCAGACTATAGATGAGATGGATGGACGACTTGACACTTATTGCGAGGTTACACTAGAGACAGGTGACTCAAAAATCAAAATAGATTTCGCTGACGAGAATTGGAAGAGGACTAGGACTATATCCAAAGATTGATGGTAACAGGTTGAAGAAAAACAAGAAGAAGAAAAAGGAGAAGAAGAAAAAGAAGAAGAAGTACCCAAATGAACGTCGAACATGAATGATATTTTATAAAATATGTTTTCAGAAAAGTTCTGATGGAAATCCTTATGACATCACTGAGATAAACTTTCTATGGAAGTTTATGCAAAACTATTTCCAAAAGCAATGTAATCTGAAGTATGCCAGTGGGCTTCAAATTTAGGTCCATATTGGAATGGATTTTATACACGCCTCATTTATAATTAAATAATTCAAGTTCACACAAGAATGACTAAAAGCATATACTACATCTTCATACATCGCTTAAAAATCATATAACGCGACGCTTTCGCCAGTGTGTACAGAATTCAAACCTGAATTGTTCAAGAAAGATTATCGCGTTTATTCTGGA